GCGCGCGTGTGTGCGCGTGAGTGCAGTGTGTGTGTGTGTGTGTGTGTGTGTGTGTGTGTGTGTGTGTGTGCGCGCGCGCGGGTGTGCGCGTGGGTGCAGTGTGTGTGTGCGCGCGCGTGTGTGCGCGTGAGTGCAGTGTGTGTGTGTGCGCGCGCGCGTGTGTGCGCGTGAGTGCAGTGTGTGTGTGTGTGTGTGTGTGTGTGTGTGTGTGTGTGTGTGTGCGCGCGCGCGAGTGCGACGAGAGGATCGGGCGTGGGTGGCGGGTGCGAGAGGACCCCTCTGCCTGTCCAGGAACCTTCTCCGAGGTGCTGCCTGTCGCCCATCCTTCCAGGGCTCGCCGGCAGCCCCCAAAAGGAACGAACGCGTTGGTGAATAAACAGCCCTTGCTTGCTCAGCTGTGGGTTGTCAGGGACGTTTGTTTCTTTCTGCAGCTGGTCACCGTTAACCAGTTCTAGTTTCCTTGACACTTCTAAGCAGGTGGATCAGGGCGAGGGATCAAAAAGGGAGAAGTCACAAATCATCCCCCCCCACCCCCGTCTTCTCTGACGCCGGAGGGATAGCCTTGAGGGAGGAAGGAGCTGTTGTTGACTTAAACAAATGCGTAATTTGGGCGACCTGTGGCGTTTCTTAGTGCTGTGATTGGTGGGTGTTTAGTAATTTTTGTTTACCTGTGCTTACATTTTGTTACAAATATCGGGCCTCTAAATGCCAGACTTGGGAAACCAGGACAGAAGAATTACCTGGAATTTGAAGCTGCCTGGTCTGTGTAACGAATCCCAGAGCAGCCGGGACTATGGTCTTTAAAAAACAAACCCCCAGCAATCCTATAATCCCAGCATTGGAGAGGTGGAGGCAGGAGGAGCAGGAATTCAAGGTCACCCTCTACTATTAGTGAGTTCAAGTCAGTTTCAAAAGAACAAACAAAACCCTACATGTGAATGCCTGGCAGATCTGGGAGGTTCTTCACAAGTTCAAAACCAGCCTAGATTACAGAGACAGACCCTATTTAAAACAAAAACCATCAAACCCACTTTTGTTTGTTTTAGTTTTTCTTTGGCAAGGACTATATCAGCAGCACAAGTAAGACTCAACTTCTAGAGCCTCCTGCCTAGGCCTCCCTATTTTGGAATTATAGTCATAGCCCACCTAGCTCCAATGTGTTTTCAAAATTCTCATTTAATGTAGAATTTTACAGTCAGCTCTTATCTGTTTGAATCAAATTTTGCTCTCTAAATATATTCATACTACTGTGTACATGGCTGGGATAAATAAAATAAAACATAAGTTTATTTGGCCTACAATTTCTGAAATATGCATTTTATTTTTATTTATTTATTCGGAGACATGGTCTCATTATGCAACGGGGCTAGCCTGAAATTCATTATGTATACTAAGTTGGCCTTGAACTCACAGAAATTTGCCTGCCTCTGTCTCTTGGGATTAAGGCTGTCCCAACACACAAGGTTATTTTTTAATTTTTTTAAACATTTTTTTGTGTGGATGCATGTATGTGTCCAGAGGCTTCAGGTCAACTTTGGGTGGTTTCCTCTATTGTTCCTCTCTGTATGTTTTTGAGACCCAGTCTCTCATTGAACCCAGAGCTTGTTGGTAGCCTAAACTAAGCTGGCCAGTGAGCTTCAGGGATCTGCCTATCCTTGTGTGTCATCATCTTTGTGTCCCATTACACAAAACCCCCACCCTACCTTCCTGTGCTAGGGTTACAGATGCCACAGGCACACCTGGCTTTTATGTGGGTAGCAGGCATCTGAACTCAGGCTTTCATGAAATATTTTAGGATATTATAACTAATATTCCTTCTCATGAAAAGAGAAATAGACCTACCCTTGGAAGGAAAATGAGTAGTTTAATCGGGGTATCTAATATTTAACTTTTTAAAAAATTTTGCTTTATGTACTATGTTATATGTAAGCTTACCTCTATTGCGTGTTTCTCTTTTAAGCAGTTAACATTGTTGAATATAGATTCACACAAAATTTGTTTAGCTTTGTGATTTATGCTAAAGAGCATTCCCATTTCTTAGAATTTGTTGTTGTTGCTTTGTGTCTTATATACTGGTCTGGCCTTGAACATAAGCCAAGGGTATGTTGATACTGGTTTTCCTGCACATCTCCCAAATGCTAGGTCACCAGCTGCTATGACCAGCTTTTCTCTTGTTGGTTTGTTTTTAGTTAAACAATTGGTTTAGTTAAACAGTTGGTTTCTTTTTAGTTAAAAAATTGATTTATTTTTAATGTGGATGAGCATTTGATTTTATATTTGTGCACTACATGCACAAAGTGCCCACAGAAACCAGGAAAGGGCATCAGATCTCCGGCACCTGGTGTCACCGATAGTTATAAGCTACCATGTGGGTGATGTTAGTCAAACCTGGGTCCTCTAGATGAGTAAAACAGCTGAGCCATTTCTTAGCTTCTGTTGGTTTGCCACCCCCTCTCCTTTTAAGATAGGATCTCGATATGTAGCCCTGACTGGCTTCTAACTATGTAGGGCAGGTTGGTTTTCCTCTTGCCAAAACTCTCTTGCCTCATTTCCTTACTTTTGGGATTAAAGGTGTGGTTCACCATGCTTTTTTTTATTTTTTTAAAGGTTTCTCACTCTGTAGTCTAGGCTGGTCTCCATAGCCCACAATGTCCTTTAACTGGTGGCAATCTTCTTAACAAGTGCTAAGATCTACAGGGATGATCCATCATGCCATACTTTATTTATTTATTTATTATTTATTTATTTGTTTGAGACAGGGTTTCTTTGTGTAGCTTTGGAGCCTATCCTGGCACTCTCTCTGTAGACCAGGTTGGCCTTGAACTCACAGAGATCCACCTGTCTCTGCCTCCCAGTGCTGGGATTAAAGGTGTGCACCACCACCGCCTGACCCTACCCTACTTTATAATTTATATTTTACCCTAATTTGGAAATATGAATAGTTCTATTGATAACAAATCCCATTTACATTAGCATTACTATTTCAAAACTGGATTTTATGCAAATAAATAAGTATTTTATTAATTAAATTTATTTTACATCACTACCAAAGTTTCCCCTCTCTCTTCTCCTCCCATTCCATTCTGCCTTATATTTTTAGGGAAAGTCAACTTCCTGTCTGTTTCAAAAACCCTCACTCAGTAGTAGGGAACAAATTCTGTTTTGGGGACTGTGGATGTACACCAGTAATAAGGCATTTGTTTAGCATGTCCAAGGCCCTGGACTTTGCTCCTTAGCAACACTGAGGGAAAGAGAAAAGAGGAATAATACCCTTTGTGAAAGACAGGCGCTCAGTAGTGTGACTTTGATCCCCAAAGGTTAAGTGACTGGTAATGAATAGCAGCATAGGCCAGCTTTAGGAACTTTGCCCTTAGGAGAGATGGAAACTCATGTGGAGTAGGGTAGGCCTGACATGAGAAAGAGACCCATTGTGTAGGAAATGGGGTTAGTTTATAGGTAGAGTTTTGTCCTGGAAGTTCTGGTCAGTGTGTCCTAACTACTGTCTCTGTTTTTACACAGGGTCTCCTTATGTAGGGCAAGCTAGGCTTGATTGACAGATACTCCTGCCTCAACCCCCCAACTATAAGCGCTACCTTGCTTGATTTGCTTCTCCTCAACTCTCTCCCCCCTTTTCTTTCCTTTCTTTCTTTCTTTTTTTTTTTTTTTTTCCCCCCTCCGAGGCAGGGTTTCTCTATGGCTTTTGGAGGTTGTCCTGGAACTAGCTCTTGTAGACCAGGCTGGCCTTGAACTCACAGAGATCCACCTGCCTCTACCTCCCAAGTGCTGGGATTAAAAGCGTGTGCTGCCACCACCCAGCTGTTCTTTTCTTTTCCTTCCTTCCCTTCCTTCCTCCCTTGCTTCCTCCCTTTCTTCCTTCCTGCTTATCTGCCTGCCTTTTTTTGTTTTGTTTTTTGAGACAGGGTTTCACTATGTAGCTCTGGATGTCCTGGAAACTCACTTTCAGCAACTTAGAGAAGAAAGGGTTTATTTCACTCACAGTTCCGTATAACAGTTCATCATCAAAAGCAGTAAGGACAGGAACTCACCCAGGGCAGGAACCTGGAGGCAGGAGCTGATGAAGAGGCCATGGAGGGGGTTGTGTCCTGAGTTGTCTTCATGGCTTGCTTAGCAGACCCAGGACCATGGGCTGGGCTCTCCTCCATCAATCATTAAGAAAAGCCTACCAGCTGGATCTTATGGAGGCATTTCCTCAATTGAGACTCCTCTTCTCTGATGATTCCAGC